AACTTCTCACAACTTTGCCACAAATTCAGTTAACTGATGTACAGAAATATTCAGAAAAATACGAACTGCATCTGCAATCAACCAAATAGGGCGGAAAACCGGAATAAAAATACCGTACAGCGCTTTCTAACCGTCGGGAACCAGTTCACTTGCAGCCCCCGGCCTGCAGTATTTAACGAAACACCTTGACTGCCGCACTAAGGGTACCTGGTTCTAATCCAGATCAGGTATAAATATTTGTAAATGTTTAGTGGGTTGGGTTGATGGAAGGGCACCCCTTGCCCTCTTAAAAAAAGAATTAACAAAAATAAAAAATAAAGCCAGCTTCGATAGAACGCGTCTCCGCTTACGCCGAACTAATGCGCACGTCGTTGATCACCTGCATCTCTCGTTGCTTCCTCTAACGGCGACAAAAATCACGTGCCTTAATTAAATCTCGCCCGATATCAAAAACTTTTATCCAAAATGATCAGATGTCCCTACATTTTAACACGCAATTTCACGTTTTACAATTAAATAAACAATATGCTAGTACAAATAATTCGAAAGGGAAAAATAGTACAACAGAACTAGAAATTCAAATGAAATAAACCGATTCTGTGATTATTCGTAAATAACTCCTCCCCCACCCTCTATATTTACTCTACTAAATTGAAACACTTCTCATGTACAAGGTGCCCTGAATTGCCTGAAATTTTGAGTGTAACGCAAAGATGGAGGAGAGATGCAGTTCCATGACCTACAATTAACTACGGTTGATAGGTACACTTTAAATGATATCCATAGTGGTTCTCCTCCGAAAAATGTTGGTAATTTCTAATAAGTAAAGCGTGATGATGGAGTAATACTGAAATTGAAAGCTTAAACAAAAAGTAAATTCATTCATTCCATTAATAAATTTAATGGTCTGCAGTAAATATAAATATAAATAAATGTAGGTAAATAGTGTATTATGTAAATAGAGTACAAAAAGACTAGAGGTGAATAATTACTTACACAATTGGGGTTAAGAAGTGCATACACGTTTCGGAAACGGTTCAAGATGATTTGATTAAATTTTACATTTTACCGATCGGGCGGAAATGTTTTCATGTACATATAAAATATAAATATAATGCATACAATGCAATGTTTTAGGGTAAAAACAAAAAATGGATATACATAAGCTATATGGCTTTATAATAGAAAAAAATTTTACATTTTCGAGTCGCAAACGACGAAACTCGTACTGTCCAGTATGCAATATCCATCATCATCATCAACATTAATATGACATAAAAGCCTGAAACCCCTTTTGTCATTTGTGAATAATCACAAAGGGTACGTATTGTAACTTAAACAAAGATACGTACATGTCAAACTAACTAAAACTAACATCTGCTTTACGTAGGAGTAAAGTTAGATTGAGCCAAACCACATTTAATCCGATGACGAACAGCGTGCCCAGAAGAGGGAAATTACATCTTAAATTTGCATGCTAGCTAGATAAATAAAATTTATATGAATTGATTATTTGAGTAGATAATTTATTATATTTGTCCGTATTGCAAATTCCTGCAGGTAACGACCTTTATCGTGTTGGGTTAGGGGTATAGAGAAAGATAAATTTGACAGCGTGTGGGTAAAAATCAATATGCGATAAATTACCGGTGGAATTTCGGTTATCTTTTCTAATGCAGCTTGAATGACTTATAAATGAAACAAAATATGGACAAGATTATTCTTGCACACGAGTACACATTTCAGCATATAAAAGGGGAAATACATGTCGCGTTGTCATATACGAATATTTGACGTTCTCTCGTGGGAGAGCCAATAAAAGCACTTCATTAGATGAGGAAAATGTTCTAAATGTGTATTTTCAAAGTTATAATTATGTTTAACTTATAACTACTTCATTATTAGTTGTGAAACACTTGCAGCCGAAATGATGTACAACTTTTTAATTATACACGAAATTAATGTGTATTATTAATCAAAATTGTTCCAAATGTCATCGAGTTTCAAAAGACAACTGGAAAGGGTGCATATGTGCGAATGGTGTTTGTAAATATATAACAGCCCCATGGCGACAAATATGAAACGGAATGTTCGAGAGGATTGTCAAGAGGTGTCATAGTGAGTGGATTCAAATGCGTTTGACCATGAAAAATTCAGCAAATATGATGAAGCGGTATATTGGAAACACCAGTATAAAAAAATAGTTACTTGTAGAGTTTTGATGTTGAACAAATTGCAATAGTTGGTTCAAGTAGTAGACTAAAGTGTGGCTGCAGTGGCAGACAATAAAAAGTAGCAAATCTACTTTTGATTACCATTTTGCGTACCATAAATACGAAAGGTAGTTATTTTTCCCCAACTTGCCGCTTTACTCTGGGAATGTGTAAATCCTATCAAATTTATTGAAAGAGGGAGTTTTACTATTTTCTCTAATAACAGAACTGAAATTGTGTGTCAGATAAGGCAATTTACGTTCACAATAGTAAGGAGTTAGCGAAGATAAAGGTATTCTCTTTGTTTTTCTTTGTGTAGTATAGAAGTACAGTTTCCTAGATGAAATTCCCAGCGGATACATGAGCACGCAAAAGGATCACTTGCAATTATATAGCTAGTTTAGATCTAGATACGAATCTTACAGTCTCAAGAAAACGTAAAATTGGTACAACGAAGTCCGAAGGTTGATTTTCACTACGTTCACGTTTGAATTGAACTGTAAGCGGTTTTGAGTATGACTGTATGACTAATTTTATATTCAAAGGTATGACGGATAAGTAGTTTGGGGCAAACATGCTTTTTGATATGGGACATTGGGACAATTGTCGGAACATAGGTATACAGGTATTTAATTTTAATTGCAGTTGTGTGTATGTAAATACATAATTTTATTCTTAGGTATTAGGTGCGCAAGAAGTCATTTGCAATGTAATGGAGGAACTCCACATGGGGCTCGCAATGTTTTCACAAACAATAAAGAGAGTTACGGAAAGTTTTTAAAGGTGCCATTGAAATTTCGCAGGAATTAGTTGATCACAGAAATCTAATGGGTATCACCCTATACCTATACATGTTGTAACGATATGACTGTTGTAAAACGTGCTTCGAAGGTGCTAATGTAAATGAATAAAATAAACTTCCATAATAGGTTTTTGTTGGTGATTGGAGTTTGAAACGTTGCATATCTATTTTATTTGAGTTGCAATCTCTCAAACCTGTGCCGCCGACAGCCGCAGTTTTAACACCACCCATCAAAAAAAGAGTAATATTTAATTACCTACCTTCTACCTCACTGCATATTCCACATTTAGAATGTAGATGAATGCCTATAATTTTCGAAGGTCAATATCATTCATTCACTAGAATTATTCAAATAACTGATCATTGGTAATTAATAGGTAATGGTAAAAGATTATAAATTTTTATTAGGTGAGCAATGGTATATGAGCTCGTGGTGAAAGGTTTAACATGAGTAATCATATATTCGAACATTTTCTAATTTCAAAAATTTTCAAAGTATCGAATTACATCACATAAAATGTTTCCTGGTCGGAAAGTTCCACTGAAGCTGCATCAGGGGATGCTAATTTACCGGAAATAGAAATCAGAAATGACGACAAAGAAGTCCAAAATGCTATTAGTGGAGATCGAATTGGTAACATTTTTTTGAAGCATTAAAGTCCTTGGAACACGATGGGTTTGGTTGTTCATTTTTCACATGGACCTAATTCGTGAAAAGCGGTACAGAAAAAATTCCTTCCTTGGTGCAAGCCTCGACACCATAACGAACCAAATAGCGAAAAAAGTAGAACAATAGCTCTTAAGATAAAAAACTAGTAGCGTCGCAAAGTTAGCGGACGGACGGACGGACAAAGTGGCCACAATAGCGCATTTTTTTTTTATTTTTGTGGAAATGCGCTAAAAAAGGTAAAAACTAATGTTTTTGAATATTTTTTACGTAGAATCCAGTAGCGTAGTAAAAAAAATTTTTTTGACCATCGTTTCTGAGATTTGGTAGTTTATTATAGGAGTACAAAAATAGCGTATATACCCCAGGACTAAAGTGCATCTAATTCCTCGGCACTAAAACACTTTAGAAGTCCCTTGGTATATCATATGCGATTTTTTCTTGCATGTTTCAAATGTTGCTAACAGCTATTTTGCTATTCCGGGCACAAATCTCGCAAATCAAATATGAAAATCACTGCAGTCGTTCTTGCGTTATATTATATCCGATTGTGTTTTATCTATTACCCCAAACCTCTATATTTATTACTTTCTGATAGCCGCGTTTGACCAATCGATAGGTACCTAACCAGATTTCAAGTAACAGAAAATTATATGTACTAGAGGGCTGAGGGCTTCAAAAGACCTAAAAAACAAACTCATGCTAATCGCGCCATTTAATCTCGTGTTAACCCGGGATAATTGAATCGAAATTCTTAGAAAGACAGGCGGAAATTTAACTTTCACACGGATTATGCGTACCTATTTACACTTAATGCAATATAAAAGTGTATGCATAGATACTTTTAACTTTGGAAGATACAATTGTACATTTCGGAGTCCCATTTGCTAGACTAGAAAAGTAAACATGTTCACTCATCCTAACTTTACAAAAAAATGAAGGTCACATGTTGCGTCGAATATGACCAATTTTCATATCCGTTGTTTGTTCAAGAACCTCAAAAGTGTTTTTTTTTCGAATTTTATATTTATAGATTGGGAATATCTTACACCTTATATTGTATAGTGAAAAGTTGAGGTAGAATTTAACCACAGTTTGCAAGAAGAAAATCGTGATCATTTTCATTTCTGTGAGGAACTAGTCATGAAGCCATTCCATTGTTTAAATTTTAAACAATGCCATTACCAAAGTGTCCAAGTTTTCCGAGAAAAATGCTCAATAACATTGAACTAGACCCCTTCAAATACTATTGTGATTTCAATCGGCGCTATGGTCGTGATACATGGTTTATCTTAAATTGAAACAAAATTTAACGTACCTTTCAGTTATACTATTCGTACCACTCCATTTCATCCATACACTGCATTTTAATATTAAACAGTTCAATCTGTCCGATTTGGTCACAGACACAATACAATCCAAACTAGCACGCGGTTCCAACATTACTATTGTTAATAAGCGATAAATTTTGCATTATCAGTGCAAACAACAGGTTTTGTGACTTGTATAATATAAGCATAGACCATTGTATTTGGTCTATGATATAAGTAAATTTCAAATATTGTGTGATAAATTTCACATCGACGAGACGGTTGTTAAAGTTAAATTACTGTTCGAGCCACCACTTTCAATCCTTCTCCAAAGAAATGAGGACAAATTTTCATTCAATCCTTGCGTACAATTTAGACTTGACTCAAAATAGTTTACATGATTTTATAACCATCAGTCTCCTGTCGCAATATCTTTGACGGTAACTCACTAAAAGCAAATTCCCCAAAAAGGGTGAGTGGAAATTTAATTTCGGCAGTTTGTGAACTACATTTTGGTGGGGTCAATAACAACTGGCTGAGATCATCTGAGTGCCAGCACAAACGACTCTATAGGTGCAATAAAAAGTTTCCGTAGCAGTTAATTCATGAAATAGTATATTTAACTCTATTTCACCAAACATACTATGCGATCAAAAAAGAGCTGTCGAGTCACCTGGAATTTTTGTTTACGTGAGAAATCATATTTAACTTGAACTTTCGAGGCGACTCGACGTCAATCCTTTTTTGATCGCCCGTTAGTAAGAAAGACTCGCTGCATCAACCAATAGAACTGATTTTCTTGACCTACTGCATTGTTTGCGACACTCTTTCCCGTTGTTTTTTACAAACGTTGGTCTAACAGTCAACTTTTACCGACAAATAACGATTGATATATTTGTTTATGTAACTTTAAATTAATTTTTGTAATTCTTCTCGTTGTTAATTTGTTTTAGTCTTGTCCTGATGGGTGCCAAAGATTATGCGAAACGTCAAGCTGTCGTTGAATTTGGTCAAAGTCTGCGATACATTGCTAGAGGAGTCCTTCGCCGTTTTTTGGGAATAAATATACCCACGTACTCCATTTGCACTGTTTTTCTTGATATTTCAGATGCTTATGAAATTAGGAAAACTATACTAATGGCTGTTAACACTGACAAACTTAAGCGGATCTTAGCTTAAGTATAGCTTACAATCTATGGCAACCATTGTCTCAATAATCGTTGCCATGGATTTTAAGGTACACTTAAGCTAAACTCCGCTTAAATTGGTCGGTGCAAACGGCCATAAAATAATTAGGGCCAATTTTTTGTGTCTGCTGTCTTAAAACTTGAGAGGATTACTGGGACACTTTTTATTACACCTAAGTAGTATCAGGTTCTTTTTCAAGCTTACAATTAGTTATAATTTGAAAAACTGCAGTTTTTTGATTGCTAACTTTGAAAAATCGCAGCAGCCCTTGACCATGTACATTCTTCACCCACGTATTTTTCTTAGATCGAAGTAATTATCATAATAATTTTTTACGCAGAATGTCTGCCAAAGTGTCATCTAATGAGGGAAACTGAAATATCGCAAAACAAAGGTTGTATTTGCTTTAATTTTTAAGTAAGTACGACTATATGGCAGATCTCTAAGAAAACACAAAAATTAAATCGTCACATTTGTATAAGGCATGTTTGACTAAAACAACTGCACATAACCTCTATCCACAAGTCCTCCAATAGATACCTTTATGAACCACCCTGTATATTGGTTGATCATTTTAAGGTGCACAAGCATAGTTTAGATTATGCTCAAATAAGCGTGATAAATGTGCCTTTATTTCTGACTTTTCTTGCAACTACTTAGGAGTTTTAATTACAGGGTGTTCCATTTTCGTCACTTTTATAGGGTAGTTCTTAGTGCTAATAAAATGGTAACATATGCGTCTTTTCGGTCAAACTTTAGCAAACTAAAAAAATTATCAATTTCAGGTTGACCTTATATTTTCTTAGTTAAAAGACATACAGACAAATGTTTTTTGCGAAGGTTTCTTTATAATCATTCTTGAATAATCTGCCATTTTAAAAATTAGTATACGGTGTCTTGATGATTTAGACTTTTTTTAAATTATTTTAAACCTTTTTTAATCTTTTTTAATATTTTTGAATCACTTGAATCTTTTCTGAATATTATCCCTGGTGTGTTATATTTTTTTAAGAGAGAATTTAATATGCTATTTTTCAGATTAAAATTTACAGGGTGTTCTATTAAAAAAATGATTCTTCAAATTACTTTAATTCTACTGTTTGGAAGATTCAATTGTATTGTTCGAATTTCTAAAAAAATTTAAATGTTTCAAAACATGTAAGGTAGAAAAAAGATAAAAACTGCCTATTTTAGATATTATCACGTAGAATCCAGTGGCGTAATCAAAAAAATTTTGGGCCACCGCTTCTGAAATTTGACCCAAAGTTGATATTATTAACAACAGCCTGTATATCTTAACGTCAACTTTTTTGCATTCCTTTTCCTGATTACATTGATGTATTACAACCTACATTTTTTTTTCAAAAAGTCAAACTTTTCGTTTTCACCCTGTATCTCAGAAACCAACGTATAACTAGATTGATTCTGTTTATGGTATTAAAAGAATCACAAAACAAGTGGCACAGGGTCGTGAAAACCGTCTCTTACCTTTAAAAACAACTGAGACTGCAGTCTCAACTAAAATAGGACACACGGTACAATTAAATCTTATAATTATCATCGTTACGGGCCGCAGACTTCAGAACGGCGAGCCGCGTGTTTAACATGCCTACTCTAGAGATTCATCAGTTCTTTCCATCGTATTGATTATAATAGTTCAAAAAGGTTTTTATGATTGTTCAGTTTCTTTAGTCTTTCAGATACTTCGAATACTTTGGTTGCTTCCGATTCTCTTTTCCGATCCGTTAAGGCTTCAGATTTTGCTGCTCTCTTGTACTTTTTCTGTGCATTCGTTCAGATTTTTCAGGGTTTAGACACTTGATTCTTTTAATCCATGTTCTTTCAGCTCATTGTTCATAATTAATCTACTATCGATTTTTCCTGGAGAAAGTAGCGAGTTCTAAAATATGGAGTTTTAAGCAAAGGCAGAGGAAAAAACCTCGCAACCGACCATTTAATGTCTGGAGTATTATTATTATAGCATTTAGTTTATATTACAGTCAGTGACGGACCTATGGGGGGGCAAGGGGGGGTAGGTTGCCCCTCCAATACTTAACTAGTTGGCAATTTTGACAAGAGTTGGTAATTTTCATTACCAGTTGGCGAAGCCGCGAAAGTATCGTAAATGTAATAAATCGACTATTGAAGGAATGCGGAATTACGGCAAAACCTATAAAAAAGGACTCTTTAATAGGAACGTCACTTCCTTTTTCTTCAACACAAGGTTGGTATTTTGATAATGCTTTTAATTAGTATTAGCGACCGAATACTGATATCCTACATTTTCTACATGATTTATTAGACTTGGAAATACCACTTAATACTTAATAGATACTACTCCGTTTGAGTTGGAAATTTTTACTGTTGCGTTGGCAAAATGTCGTGTTTGCCCCCCCCCCCAATTTTTTTGTCTAGGTCCGTCCCTGATTTCAGTCAGTTATAGCCTCTCGCACAGGAAGGAAGAAGCAATTTCGTTTTAAAGCGTATATAGGACTCTACGTTCAAAATGGCTGCTCAATTAAGATTCAAAAGCGAATATCGTAATACAAGCCTTGAGTAAAAATTAGCGCGACTCCTTGAATCGACTTTACCTTTTGTTGATCGTATACCTAAATTGTGGTCTCTAAAATAAAACCAAAAGCTCTAAAACCCTATTCTTCATGTTTATTGGATGCGATGCGCTTTAAACTGAGGGAATTTTGCAAATCAAAACAATAAAGTAGGTATACATTATTATTAAACACATCAGTAGTAAAATTGGCGAGCATATTCATAATTGAATTAACGACTTTTTTCGTTTTTGTTCCGCGAGGTTTAATTACATTTACAGTTTCATCTGGCGGCCTTTTCTGCATTTGATCGTATTTATTACAGCTGCATAAACGTTACCTACACAGCAATACAAATTCGGTCGTCCTTCGCAAAATCATAGAAACACATCTGTTGGCATAAATTGTTCCAGTTTGGTAGCAAAGATCACATACCGTACAAATTATAAAAGATATTGATTGATTAATTCACTCTACTAATTCGCGAGCGTCATTATAATAAAAAAGCACATTTGGTACTAGATTTATCCACAAATTCTTTTTCCGTTGCTTTTTATATCTCTCTCAAAGCCCCTTCAGATTTTAGAGCACTCATTTAAACGTAGGTGCGTATTTTAACGATAATCACTTTCAAATTAAATTGTTATGCGATCGAAATTTTGAACAAAATTATCACAGAATAGTACGACAGCTTAGTGGTTAAATGAGAAAACTTTTGCTTGATGCCGAAAACCGATTTCAATTTCTCTCGTGAAACGGAAGTTGTAAATTTGGATATGCCATTACTCATTGTTTCCCCTACCTTCTTTAGAGTTATCTAAGTTATTTGCCTGTAATATACCCATTCAAGTAAAATGTAAATGTATCTAGACCCTATAGCTAGACTGTACTTGCATAATCGTAGTATAAAGCGACACTCTCAAGAAGTTGTCATGGCGATACGTTTTCACAACATTACGTGTCCCCTATTTTGTTAAAACCGTCGATATTCACTTACCCTACGTAAATTTAAATAAGAGAGTATTTATTAGCTTTACTTCTAAAATGTAAAAACGCCAAAAGTCAAAGGGTTAATGGTGCTCCGGGTTGTTCACTTGTTCGGCAAAGTTTGTACTTTGAGTCCGAAATAAATTAGTATTTTATTCAAGACTGCCTAACAAAATTAATTAATTAACCGGTCAATAATCACGTTTGAATTAAAAATTTACGAATCTATTTGGAAGGAAAATCCTATTTTCACTTGCCTTAAACTCAATCATCCTAATGCGCGGGTTGTTGTTGACGGTGTGAATATGCAAATGCAAATACCCGAATACATCGCTAACAGTTAAGGGTGTTTTCCACACTATTGAACAACCAATACTTATTTAAGATGAGATAAATTTTTATAAAAGGGTTCCTTGTCAAATTCATATCTGGTATAAAG